GAAAATGGAAGACTGTATTATGCTTATAATCAGAAAATTCAATTTCAAATGTTTCTTTTTGTGGATGATGACCACAAGGAAGAGGTACTTGTGATGTGTTCTGATATTTGAGCTATAAACTTTAAGCAAGTTTTGACTCATCAAATATCTCTCTACTGAGTTATATATTTCACTGTTGAAGTATCAACACACAAATATCTCCATATTAATTTAATATAAATTATAAAACACTATCGGTCTCTTCTCCCATGTAACAAGGGATACGACAAGAGGAAATGGCCCAAGTTGTGCCAGGGGAGGTTTAGGTTGGATATTATGAAAAATTTCTTCTTCAAAAGGGTTGTCAAGCACTGGAACAGACTGCCCAGGGAAGTGGCAAAGTCACCATCCCTGGAGATATGTAAAAGATGTGTAGATGTGGTGCTTGGTGAAACAGTTCAGTGGTGGACTTAGCAGTGCTAGGCTGACTGTTGGACTTGATGAACTTAAAGGTCTTTTCCAACCTAAACGATTCTATGATTTTATAATTACATAAAGCATTATTAGAACTTTGTCACTTGCTACATAAGCAATTAGGATATATTGAGAATCTTAAAAACAGATTGTAGACTGAAATTTGATTAGAGGTAAGGTTTTGAAAACGTAAATTTTAAGTTTTATTAACTTTTACCTTTGTGAATAAAATGATTTTGAAAATCTTCAGTGCTGTTTCAAATCCTGTAAAAGATACAGGACTAAAAATATCTATTGTAGACAACAGACAGCAGGGATACAAAAACGAAAAGGAGATCTTTCCGATCTCTAATCAACATTGTGGAACGGGCATCATGCAATGCTGCAGATCATACAGAAGTGCCTAACAGGTGTACAAGGTCATGTAAGGCAAAACCATTGGGTCTTTTAAGTACTGTTATTACTTCCAGTGGAGAAACCCTGGAGACACACACCAGTGGTCACTGCAAAAGGTTTCACTTTAGACTTGTGATCTTCTTACAGACCTCTCTTCTTCACCTGGTTAAATATTCTTAAGCTCTTTCTCCTAAGACAGTTTTGCTGCTGCAACAGGTGCATGAAATACACTACAGTCATGATAACCCAGAGAATGTTGGTTGTATTATTACTTTCAGCAGTGCAAGCTGAAGGCATACAGATTCTTGAGAAGCTTAACTGTTTAGGAGTTAGTTTATCCTACAAAACTCTCTTACCTGGGGTTTACTGCTTGGCCTTGCATTAACTAGGAATAACATAAAACGTTATGACTGGGCAGCAGATGAGTATGTGTATACCTGTAACTTATAATAATGCATTTATGGTAATGATGCTAACTTAAACGAGGTGCAATTGTAAATGAGTAACTACTCAGCAAAATACATTATATTGCTCTTGAGATGTATCATTTAGAAAATTAATACAGTATATGTTTTCTTCCATAAAACAGTTTTGGTTTTAAGAAAGCTCAGCAGAAACGAACTACAGAAAAACTACAATACAGCCCTGTCTACTCCTGGCCATTAGAGCCAGGATTACTTTTAAAGAACTGGAAAAAAGAAATGACTCCAGGGTCTTCAGAGTAAATCAATAAGCAGCCATATTCTAGATAATAACTATGTAGTCAGTGGGAATTCCTGACATACTCTTCTGCATCCACTTTCCATTCTGAAAGAATTTCTTAAATCTTATTATCCAAACTGACATCCTGACATGAGAAGAAAAAGCATATGTGAGAGCAAATGATTTCTCAGAAATTGTCTAAAGTTGGGGGGGAGAAGAGGAGCGTAATCAAAGGGTAAAATAGAAAGACCCAACAAAAAAACACAAAGTTTGGCACCAGGTGCTAAGTTCATACTTTTTATAAACTAATGAAGCTTTCATAAAATCAATAAACAGCTTTTCAGAAAACCTCTGTACTAAAGTAAATGCAGCTAAACCAATTTACAGCAGCTAGAACTTGAACTCAAAGTGCTTGTTAAAATTCCTTCAGCTAGTGATCTGTGCACAAAGAAACAACGTACAAAAATACCAGTGAATCTATTACTACTATTAACAATTCCAATACAAAAAGTAGGAGAGGTTATTGGGTTTTTTTTGGCAATATCGTTTTGGCCTAGATGCAGTGTGACCTGAAAACTCTGGTCTACTTTCTAGAAATTGGTCTGTGAGAATAAAATAGTTGTGTTCAACCTGAAAAGACTTTTTTTCTGTGTATCATGCAAAATCATGATTCATAATATCATTCAAAGTGCACATCTTCACAAATACTGGAATTGTTAAGTACAGCCATATTATCTTGGCAATCAATCTTCCATGTTCATTTTCTATCACATTAACATTACAAAAAAAAAAATGCTACCGCAGGAAAAAAATCTGCCTCGTTCTTATGTAATGCAGAGGGTGAATTTTCATAGAATCATAGAATGGCATAGGCTGGAAGGGACCTTGGAGATCAACTAGTCCAGCCTCCCTGCCATAGGCAGGGACGCCACCTCTCGACTAGACCAGGCAACACATGGGGACCGAGCAGGAATTTTAAAACTACAGAGTTCACCATAATAAGTCACTCATAATTATCTTCCAAATGTGCATTGTGATTAACTGCTAAAAGCCAAAGGAAGACTTTGGTGTACTGTACTTCAATTTTAAGATTATTTGGAATATAAATCCCAAACTTTGGATACAACAGACCCTAGAGAGGAAACAGGCGGATTAGGACAAATAGACAATCACAGCACTGAATCATTCTAAATCATGTGTATTTCTAAACAGGCAGTAAAAATTGCATTACAGCCCAAGAGACTGACAAAAATGACTGAAAATAGAAAACAGTCTTTTGAGATCCAATTTACAAAATCTCAGTGGTTTTGAAATGGTAAATGACATCAAATGAAATCATCTTTTCAGAAAATTTGTGTCTTAAAGAAAATGCTGCAGTATAAAACTTATTGAAAATGAGCTATTGTCCTTTCTTAATTACTCCAGTGTTCAATAATTCATTAAAAGAATCTGACAGATCTTTTATTATATTTTAAATCACTGTGCAGCATAAACCAAATCACTTAAAAAGCACTTTTAAACTACACTTTACAAGCTTTTAAACTATACTTTACAAGCTCAGAATCAACAAATCCATTTACAGCACATTTTACAGCACTTTGAGATTTCATAAGAACTATAAAACAACAGAGAAAAATAACACAAAAAAAATATTTAGTTGTCATGTGGAAACGTCCTGGTGAAAAATTAACTTACCTAAGGTCTTACATGCAAAAAGAGCCATGGCACTCTGCAGTCTGTCTGGTCGGACAGCCTGGACAACTAGTACCTTAAAATAAAATATATTCAGGAGAGATGAATTTATAAACGTATATTTTGACAATTTAAAAAGCAAGACTCTTCTAAGAAGGTACATGCCTTTAAACTTCTCTTTAGAACAGTTATTTTCTCTGAATATATACAGCCATCTCATCACTTCTCTCTGAGATAATCAAACATTCTTTTGTAAGTAGCTAGTTCTATTCAAGAATAAGTAGATCTACGTTAGAAGTTTGAACTTCTTCTACAGTATTTTAGAAAAACGGTGGGTAGCTAGAATGATGGAAAGCAAATTATTTTTATATTGATAGTGTAAATTCTATACATGTATTTAGGCAGTAACATCCTACTGGAATACTAATGTTTCTGATTTCAGTGCAGTAATACAGTAAAATAATCAGTTTTCAAAGAATTTCCTTTGTTCAAGCACACCTCTCAAGTCTTACACCTGACTTCTTTTTCTGAGACATTCTGATTTTCAAATCTCCTAGTTCTGCAGATGCTTTTATTATTCTTCAAAAGAATACAGAACATGAAGAGCAAATCAATTCAGATACAGATTAAATTATCAGTTTCCCTACCAGCAACCTCTTTTTCATTTAACTTCCCGCAAATGTTCAGTGCAGACAACTGCAGGCAACCAATGCAACCTCAGTAGAAATTTGTTAAAATCACCACCCCTTCTCCTACCCCCTTACTTGCAGACCTGTAAACCACAATTCCAAACCTACTGTCACATTCCAGTTTCCACGTCTGGAGTATCTGTGGGGTTTTGTGGAGAAAAATTTTAACTTCACTAAATTCTTAAGAAGTACTACTTTTTAAGCTTGAGATTACCCTAAGTGCTACTTAAACACTAAGTTTAATGTACAGTTTGAAAGAAACTTAGTAATATATAAATCTAGACAGGTAGTTTTAGTACATTTCAACAGAAATGAAACATCCTTAATACTTTCTATGGAAGGAACTAGATACATAACATGCTGATCATTCCATGCTGTATAGAATTTGTATGACAACACATTGCACACATATGAATTGCTCCTCTGCATTTCACCCCATCAAACATGACTCAGGCAAATTCCTTTCCATAATGGTTTATTCTTAAATTCTGTGCATGCTGTTTTAAAAATTCTCCTCCTCCACAAAAGCTCCAAATGCAGAGCCCTTAAGAGACAACCAGCATGAAGCTACATTGTCTTACACCCTATCCGTTCTTCGGGCCAGCCTTCAGTTTGTGTGAAGGGACTTCAAATGAAAAAACACAGCATGACGAGAAAATAATTAACAACACCCTTTCTTCCATAAATGCAAGATGACACTCTTCTCTTCCAGAGAAGAAGGATCCCTTGGTGGAAGAAGGAACTTGCCTCTTCAACATTCTTGGTGAGTTCTTTAATCAGCAAACTTTCAGAAAAACTAGTATTTCATGACTACTTTTCTAAAAAGCAGTGGCTGCTATTCTGTTTTGTGGTTTTCAGTTGCACACTTAATGATTAACTAATGTTGTTTAACAAGCTGACAACTTCTGCAGTAACAAACCAACCATGAAAGAATTTTGCCATCTAGTTCATAAAATTAATTCTTTGAATATTGATAAAGAGCTTGTTACCTTACATGGCATGTTTAGTTGTAACCAATACGTCAACACAAAAAAAAAAAGAGTCAGATACAAGAGAACTAAGTATGTATTATAGACAAAAAGAATAATTCTTAGACTAAAACTAGATAAGCTGTAAGACCATGTCGATACTGTCACTGCTTATAACTTAACCAGGCCTTAAGTCTAAATCCTCAGCATGTAGAATTTACCTTTCAGTATTGAAATCATAATTTTTTTAAAATAATTTAATATTAAAAGATTACCTGCTGAAATAAGGAAATTCTTTTTACAATAGTAGATGGAAAGTTTTGTTCACACACAGAGCTCTGAGAAAAAGAGTGCCACAGACTTTCATCTTCAAAGCAAAGTGTCTGATAGAGACCTGGGAGAGAAATCTATAGAACAAATAATGTATATTTAACAATGAAAAAGAATTGTCGTTCGGACATTGTATATTTTAATTAATTTCCAGACATCACTATGAACTAAAACCTGTAAATACTTGTGTATATCACATAATTCAACTTTATCCTTGGAGTTACAGAACAAAAGGGTAAATTTTAAAATTAATCATTTGTTTATCTATTCCCTGGAAATGCTAAATTTGCATTTGCTCTATATCTTTGTTTTTGAACTTTTACATTCTTTTTAAACTTTGGGCTCTGCCCAACTGAAGTCCTTTCCTTTAATCATGACCAGGTTCTTCTACTATCACAACGTGCTACTCATTCACCCACTTACTTTCTGTTTGTTTGTTTAAATCTCTAAACATCATGCTTGTCACACCATTGTTTCATTTGTTCCTGATCTCCAGTGAAGAGAAAAGTAACAAACTCTGGATTTATCAGCAAAAGCCCTTGATAAAGACCATTCAAGATTTTGCTTCTTGAACCTGAGCTACATGCAAAAGGAAAAAGGCCTAAATGAGAATTTCATGGACCAAGTATTTGTATTTAGTTCCCTTCAGGTTCAGAGGATTCGGAATGGACCAAATAAATAAATTGTTTTTTATTTTACTTTGACATTAATTGATCTCAGCAATAACAAACTCTGAAATATCTTTAAAGATGTGCATAGAAATCTGATAAGTAGAAAACTAGTTTTCTAATTAACATTTTATGGGTTTTGATACAATATGAAGTGGTTTGTGAAAGTCATTATGTAAGAGAAGCCCGCAACATAATATTCTTTGCAATTTTTCCTCTGTATGTTTTCCTGTCTATAGAAATTGTACTACTTTGGGTAGGCTTACAGTATTTTCTAATCTCAGCATGATGATAGGTTCATTCACATGCACTGAAATTCATTGTTACATGGGGTAATGTACATGAAAAGATTCAGAAAAATTAGGTGAAATTTAAAAAAAAAATCAATTTTTTTTCAAGTGGGTATCATGGTTTCTGCAAGACAGAATAAGCAGTTCAAAACAACAAAATATTTCCATCTGACAAATACGTATTTGAATATTCAGGTCCGTATGACTACTTGCTATAAAAACTAAAGGCCTTTTAAATTAAACTCAACCCACCACATGATGTATACCTTTAAAGATGCTACTGCCCAGGCTCGATCCTGTTCTATCCAAGAGGGAATCTGGTCACGAACACTTCTTTGTGAATCCTTATTGAAGCAAGTTATGTTACACAAGTAAGTTACACAAATTTTTGAGAAACACCATATTCATTAACAACATTGCAAACCCCAGGAATATTTCTATGGTATTTTGCTAAGTCCATAAATAGCATAACAAAACAAAAGCTACTGATGATTTCAGTTTGAGATATACTGTTCACGTTAACATTTGCTTAATCATTTGAGCCTGAAAATATTTTAGCATTTAGAGCATCTGAATGGTACGCTCAGCTCTAAGTCATTTTCCATTTCAAAACAAGTGGCCCAAATGACTGGCTCTCTGCAAATGCACTCTGAGCAACTGATTTCAAAAAGTAACTCCATGGCACATATCTGCAGTCACGAAGAAGATGCTTCTTCACACAAAGGGCAATTCTGGGGCAAATCACTAGGCAAAGCATCACTTCTGGACATCACTGCTTTAGTAAAGCTGGGTGACAGCTCTATTTCTCTGCATCTTACATGCCGGGGATAGAGAAAATTCTAAGGATTAACAACATGGTTTAAGGTCTCATGGAATCTTTTTACTCATTATATAATTTTTTATAAACAAATCTTACAGTACCCATTAACCATTCTGACAGTTTCTGTACGGAAGTGTACTTGGATTTCTCAACCATCCAGAAACTGAGAGTAATCTTAAATGTTCAGCAGAAAAAAGGGAAGCTTTCTTGGAAAAGGATGTCTCAGCCATGAGTTATGAAGTCTGAGAAAGAACGAAAGTAGGCAAATCAGAAGCAATTGTAGGAATTAACTTGAGATGGGTTTGAAGTGTACATTTCAGTTAGGATTGGGATTGAATCACGTATGTCCACCGTCTTTTCAAAATCTGTGAGTTATGTATTAGGTGGGGTAGAGGGAGGTCTGGTATTAAATTCCATTATACACTTAGATCTCACATAGTTTGAAAATGATCTAGAGTAAGAAAATACTTTACAATTACCAAGTTCACTGACAGTTAAATGAATAACAGACTCCACAATGATGAAGGAGGACTTCTGTACTCACAATGAAATGTAAAACCTGTAAAGTCATCTAAGGACTAGAGAAACCGCAAATTTAAAGATCTTTTTAGCAACCAGCTACCCAAGTAAGAAAATTTGAGTAACACATTGTGTTTTAAGTGACTTGCCACTTCTGTCAGCATGCATGTGAACACAGTCAGTGTCATGGATATTCTGAAAACAAGGTACTCACAGTGGTCATTGCTTTGTACCACTGGATGTATAAAATACCTTAAAATACCAACTCAAAAGGTTCAAATAAATTGTGAAGTATAAAAACTGCAGCTAAGCCTGATGGAAATAACCAGCCTGATGCTGACTGAAGGAGATGAGGAGATTATCTAAAGAGGAAAAGACTGAGCTCATGATTCCTCATTTGGCACATGTTTCCTAGAAATGCCTTTCAAAATCTTTGTCAAAATACTTGGTTACAGGAAGAGCTAAAGTGGATAAGACTACAGAATGCTTAGCTTTTTTCTCTTCCCTTTGTTACTGGAAGGTTGTTTTGAAAGTATACAGATTCAGTAGAACCAAGGGACACTTAGTAAACTACAGTATGATTGGTCAGGCATGCAACAAAAGCTTCTTAAGCTAACTCTATCACTCAGGAAAACATATAAATACATCTCCAGATGAAGAACTCTGAGTGT